TAATTAGATTGACTACATGAGAATCTCCTAGGTTTAGAAGTTTTTCAACAAAGGAGGATCGGATGATTCTTGGAGGTTACTGGTAGTGTGCGGCTGCTACTAAGAAGATTGTAGAAGGCTGGGAGAGTTCCAGTAGTCAGGAAGAATCAGAAAAGGCTTCGGATCCTCAAGATTAGGGTTTTGCATCAGACAAAAGGTGGCGGCTAGAGACTTTCTTTCATAAAGCAAGTTTTTTCTTGAGAATAACCTTGGAAAAAATCATCTTGGTCTATTCTGAGAGGAGCGACTGGAAAATCTGTTTTTTTTTTCTAGGGTTTTGGGAGAAAACCCTAAAATTCAGAACTGTTGTTGGTTTCAGATCAGATTTTGAACTGGTTTCATACAAAATTCTCTTTTCTTTGTTCTTTGGAAGACCTAGGCCGGCTGTTATCAGTTGTTTGGGTGCTGTTTTCTATTACAGTAGTTTAAAAGGTTTTTTTATTATTATGTGAAGTTTGATGGATCAAACTACTTAGAATGGGCTCAATCGCCCATGATGGCCATTGGGAGTAGAGGAAAACTCAGCTACTTGTTGGGAGATGTGAAAGAACCAACTAAGGASGACCAAACKTATAMCAAATGGGTTCAGGAGAACTATTTGGTTATGACATGGCTGTGCAACTCTATGCAGCCACATATTAGCTGGAACTATTTGTGGGCAAAAACAGCTAAGGAAATCTGGGATGTCATGAAAGAGACTTACTCCCAACCCCTTAATGTTGCTAGGGCTTATGAATTGAAGTATGAGGTTAACAACCTTAAGCAATGGGAGAAACCAGTCTCGGTTTACTTCTCTACTTTGAAATCTCTGTGGCATGAAATTGACCACCTAGAAACACTTGAGTGGGAAAGTCAGAAGGATGCACAGACTTATAGAAAGCAAGTTGAAACTAATAGGGTTTTTGAATTCCTAGCTGGTCTGAATCCTGACTATGATATTGTGACAACAAATACTAACAAGGGACAGTGTGACCTTATCTCAAGCCTACTTCTTAGTGCATAGTGAAGAGACTAGGAGAAAGGTTATGATGCAGCATCAGCCCTTCCCACCAGCCTTGGCAGCAGTTAAACCTAAGTCTGGGGGTGATACGGAGAGGGATATAAAGAAGGAAGCGGGATCTAGTGTGTGAACATTGCAAGAAACCTAAGCATACTAAAGACACATGTTG